CAATAGAACATAGAAACGTTATATATCTTCTGCATATTTAAGAATTGAAAAATTATGTAATACAATTCTATAAAAAAATATTTAATATTTTTCATTAGATATGTCATGAATTAAATGCATTTTTATTTAAATTAATCAGATTAATATTTTTTTAAATAACATTCTTAAGAACTAGATGTATTTATTTTAAATAATTTAGTTTGTTATTTAATAACAGACAAATTAAATATCAAAGAATGATAGCTTCCTTTTTTTCAAATGGAGACAGATTCGAATGAAAAGTTAAAAGGTACATTAAAGTGAAACAACGCAAAATCGTATTTCAAGGCTAATAACTCTTATGGGCTTAAACTTAAATGCAGTATTAGATTATAAATAGCTTATTATAGCAGAGCATAAATTTGAAAAGTGATTGCCCATTTCTTAATTTAGGAAGAATAGTTTGCAATTTATTCTGCTTATGTATATTCTAAAAGAGGCCCGGTGGCGCAGTGGCTAGCGCGTAGCGCAGCCCCACCACAGCTCCGGGGTTTGATCTCCGCGCCGGGCAAGATGGACTCAAACTTTCATTCCTTGAGTGGGTCGATAAAATGAGTACCGAGTTCGTTTGGGTACTGCGAACGAGATGATCACTTGTCCAAGGCATGTGCTTATCCACCCCACAATTGGTCCACCAGCGACCGAGCGATAAAGTAGCTGAACAGTTCAGTCCGAGGTTCGAATCCCGCGAACGGGTTAGCGAACGAGCGTTTTAGTGGTTCTCCCCATGTGTAACGTGTACACGAGCCTGTTTCCCTTAGAAAGTCCTCAACGAAGGCGTTCCTCCCCTTAGGCACGTAGACCTCGAGGCTTTGCCATAATGACACACACACACATCCACCCCACAGTCCACGGTCACGAAAGTAGATAGCAGGGCACGGGAGGCCATGGCTCAAGGGCTGCTACGCCATTGAGATTACTTAGTACGTATATTCTAATATCAAATCAAACTAGCCTTTCGAATGTTAATTATAACATGAATGTATCCATCAGTGAGTCCAAAATAATTAATTTTTATTCAATTAATTTAATGATATCAATAAGGAAGCCTATAATCATCTATATGTACACAAGTTAATTTCTGCTTCTTCACAGAGCCGGTGCCAAGCAAAAGAAAAACAGCCAGCTATCTAAAACATTGAATTTTGGATAATGCCATCTAATTTGCTCGTGATATCTCATTTCGAGCTGTTCGTAAATGGCAACAAAAATTGTGCCTTTTCAGGCTTTTTAGTTTCCCTCTGCGAGTGTTCAGAAAGAGAGCGTTAAAAATCGTTCAATTCAATCGGTTTTATCTTTTACTATAAAAAGAAAAAATTCAAAGAAAACGTTTGGACGGAATGATACCACGCGCTTTAAAACGTGTCAGAGATAGTTTAAGGGCCCTGAAACACTCGAGGCACATAAAGAAGAAAACAAACGAATGACAAAAAGTAATGATTTGTTTCTATTATTTTCAGGACAATGATCAAAACGCACTCCAAATTAGATAATGTGCGAATTACGAACCCTCAAGCATAGCTCGAGTATTTGTTTACATGTTAATAATATGCACTTCTTAACAGGATATTCAAAACATTTGCTTCCCTTAAAACTTACCATGTGTTTGCTACGCTGCGTTTAATTTAATTAATATTATTTCAAGCATTCTTGTATATTCAGTCAGATAGAAAGTTACGTTACTTCAAACACTTATTTCTCAGAAGATATTCCAATACATTAGGTACAATACTGTCAGATTTCGTTGCTTCTAATAGCATTGAAGAATGAATTTCATTATTTATTATTTAAATTTTTGCTTTATTCTAAAGATCCGAAGATATAAAATATTTATTTACACTCACAGTTATGCATGATAGGTTTAGCATTTTTAATGAAATGAACCTTCTATAACTCTTAGATTTAAATTCTAGTCAGATACTAAGCTTAAACAAAAATTTAACGGAAATAATAAGAAGTCAATATCACATAAAATTTCAATATTTTTTTAATATCTCTTTTAAGCTATAATCAAGACCAAGCCCATTTTATTTACATATCTCTTCTGAGCAGGATTTAACATTCATTGATACCTACATTTCATGTACAAATATAAGACATAAGACAAGGCGTACAAATATAGAATAAGACAGGGCGATGTATGAAAAATCATAATTTTTTTTTATTATTTTTTTTTACTTAAATGCATATTTTATCTGATAAAACCCTTATTTTATCAGATTCTAACCACAATGAGTTTCTTTATACCCTGATTATAGTTTTTACCTGATAGTATTATTACGATGAAGCTTTTGTTTCTTGCATACATTACACTATAAATTGATCTCGCTTATTATCTACAGATATGTTAATTTATACATATAGGAGGCATTTATACATATTTATACATATAGTATTGTTGTTGCGTGCGTACGGGATCGTAATAGACTGAATGCACAAGTCCGATAAAAAGTTAGCCCACCAGCGGCCGAGCGGTATAGTCGCTGAACACTGGTAGTTCGGTCTAGGGTTCGAATCCCGCGTACGGGCTGGCTGCATGGGCGTTTTCGTGGTTTTCCCCATGTGTAACGTGTATACGAGCCAGTTTCCCTTAGAAAGTCCTCCACGAAGGCATCCATCCTCTTAGGCATAATCACACACACACACACACACACACACACCGATAAAAAGTTAATAAAGTTTACTCTTATGACGAGATTAAATAAAAAAACGCAGGATTTTTCCTCAAGGATATTCGTATAATATCACAGCATTACGCAATATAATCAGTACTATATTTTAAACTACTATAACGTTAAATAGAACATAATCCGAAGCGCAGAGAAAGCTAATCTGATCAAAATTTATAGCAGCTAAGTAAACAACAACAGCTCACTAAAACAACTGAACTGAGATGTTTCTCTCTGGTTTTTAAAGCTTTTTAATCACTCACGAGAAGGTTCTTGTAATTTATGTTTTCTCGAGGTTTCTGGACAGTAAAAGAGTAGAATTACGAGCTATCTATTTGTTAAATATGAGAGCTCCTGCATTTTTACTTTTTAGGCCTAGCTTCCTCTTAAAACTCGCCACTCACTGCATTGCTCAGGGGAATAAAACAAGTTTAATTCTACTAAAAATAGCTAATAATAATTCTACTAAATACAAAATCCGTAACAGCATGATCACGATGTAACAGCTATCATCCGGATGTTGTTAGCGAATTGTAGAACGTTTGTATAAGAAATCCTGCGTGATCAGCATTGTGATCAACGCTCCAAATGTTATCAAAATATTATAGAAAAATAAATATAACAAAAAAAAAAAAAATTGGAAGGTTTCGGATTTTAAATTATGCCCAAAGGGTCATTTTTTTAACGTCTTGTGTGATACTTTTATTTATTAAATATCGCGTTCTATGTTCTCAAACTATAAAATTCAGTTCAACAGAAATATCGCAAATTAATTTTAAAATGAGCATATCTTTAAAATTTACGATGCAGAGTCTCGCGCGCTAGAGATAAAAATGTTTTTTTTCGTACAGTGTTGCCATTGCTCGCTTTGAAATAGTTTAGTTTTTTTAATCGAAAATTCGTTGAAGTGTTTCAAAATTTGAAATCGATAACAAAACAAATTTCAAATTTAAATTATGGCTTCCACATGCCCATATTCTATGGAAAATTACGTTACTCAAATTTTGATGGCTCTAGGAACCGTTGTTTTATCACAATGCGAGAAACATACATACATTAATGTAGATTCTTCATTATTTAATTTCTTTAAATATAAGACAGGGCGATAATATATGGTGGCAACGATTTGAAAAGTGATACAGCTTTTTTTTAAGTTTTCAGCTCAAAATGCCAAACGAAATTAATAGTCCTTCCTGGCAAATTGCCCTTTGGACTAATAATTTATAGATAATGTTATCAAACTATTATAGAATTAATTTTTAGACTAAAAAATGTCATTTATCAAAAATAAAGTTTGATTTCAGGCAACTTTTAAGTCTTTTAACCGCGTCCCCAAAAAATGATAACGAGCTGTTATAAACATGCCAGGCTTTAAACAAACAATGAAATAAGGGAAGCTGAATAACTAAAAACATGTCTAGCTGGTATGAATTTTGAGGAAGTTAACGAGTGGGTGGAAATTGATTTAAAATCTCAAATTCCAACAACAAAAACACAGAGGATATCTGTCTGTAGCTTTCTGAAACAAATCTCCAGAAACACCAGAGTATGAATAATTCATAAATGAGTTCTTACGTAACGATTTCTGATAATCAACAACTAATGACTATTTCCCTAAATAAAATGCTGTGAAATTAAGTCATTACATTCTTCTAATTACTTTAAATTAAATCCTAATGGTTTGAAGGGTATTTCTCCTATGGCTTAATGTTATCAAAATAGTCATGGACAAACGTATTCACATTAAGCAGCGCATAGTATGTACATACAAAGGCAGGACTATTTAATCATTCGTTTTGCGTATCATAATCTTTGAAGTAATTTGGTATAAAATTAAATAAACAAACTAAAATGGTGTTGGTGTATTTAATTATGGCAAAGCACACTAGGCTATCTGCCTAAGGGGAGGGATGCCTTCGTGGAGGACTTTCTAAGGGAAACTGGCTCGTATACACGTTACACATGGGGAAAACCACGAAAACACCCATGTAGCCAGTCCGTTCGCGGGATTTGAACCTCGGACCGAACTACCAGTGTTCAGCGACTTTACCGCTCGGCCGCTGGTGGTCCCAAACTAAAATGAAATACGTCTTGAAATGACTGGATTTTCTGCTTTAGGAATATTTGTTTATTTTATACATTCTGCTTAAGAATTTTTTTCCATGTTATTTCAATTTTTTTCCAGACAACAATTGTTTTAATTCACTAAAATCTTTCTTGGTATTGCATTTAAAATTTTTGTTTAAAACAAAAATTACAATTTACTTAAAAGTATAATTAAGTGGAACTTACATTTTCTGTTGTTTTGTTTTGTTCTAAATTTAACGATGAGTACTACAATCATTGCAAGAAGAACAAGTCCAACAACAATGGCAATTAAAACGACTAACACTGGACTGAAGCTCACTTGCCAGACGTCATCTGTAAGCAAAAAATTAATATTTTAATATATATACAACATGAAATAAATAGCAAAACTTAAATCATAGTAAGTAATTTAGTTTTTCTAAATTACTACATCAGAGAAAAAAATAAATTTTGCACTGCACATTTTATTACGTGTATTTTTCAACTCAACCACACAGACGGGAAAGAGTTTAGTGACTGACTGCTGTACCGAAGGGGCCTGGGTTCGAATCCTGCGGAAGGCATGGTTGTAATTTGTCCGTTCCTTCACAGGAGGCAACGATGGCACATTTATTATGTGCCTCCATAATAAAGAAACCACCGATTACGGCCTTCGTATTGACCAATGCATACAAATTGCTACAGCCCTGCCCATGGAACATTTTTTTCATCTAATACATTGGTCAAATATTTTTATTTGCCATATGAGACGTTCAAAAGACCAGGGACTTGCTGCACAATAAAATGGAAAATAATGCAGAAACTGAAGGAATTGGGAACATATTTGTGTAGTGTGGAATAGTTCCCAGTCAATCTCTCTTATGTATATATTATAAAACATGCATGTATTATGGCCAATGAAATTTATTATGAACTATGTATGTGTTACGTAACAGGCTCAATATATTATGAACTATGTAGGCAAGTATGAATTATGTAAGCATGCAGATGTATTAACTATGTAAGCACGTATTATTAAAGATCTATGTATTATGAACTACTTGTATATAATCATGTACTATGAACTATGTCTGTCATGAACTATGTAACTACGTAAGCATATTTTATGAACTATGTAACTATATAAGCATATATTATGAACTATGTAACTATGTAAGTATATATTATGAACTATGTAACTATATAAGCATATATTATGAACTATGTAACTATATAAGTATATATTATGAACTATGTAACTATGTAAGTATATATTATGAACTATGTAACTATGTAAGCATATATTATGAACTATGCAAGCATTGATTATGAACTATGTAACTATGTAAGCATATATTATGAATTATGCAAGCATATATTATGAACTATGTAACTATGTAAGCATATATTATGAACTATGTCAGCAAGTATACAGGATCAATGTATGCCCTTATAGGGCCCATGAGGTGTTGCCGCGGATAGTTGCGGAACCTGGACTAGACCCGAATAGTCAAAGAAATTCGCACGGGTGTTCAAATTCTGCTCTCAACTGTCAACTGCACAGTAAAATTCATATCAGAAAGACTGCATCTTCACTACACAGCTGATCTTCTATAACTTTTATATTCTAAGTTTTAAATAAAATCCACCCGGTTAAACATTCTACGAAACATCATTCAAAAAAACTTATTATATACAAGTATAAATTGAATTGTGAAAAGAGACAGCGGATTTTTAGCCCAAAGGAAAAGTTTGTCCAGAATTTTAATATTAAATTAATTTTGCGCAATTAATTTTGTTTTGCCATTTAATTTTAATTACTTTTGCGCAATTAATTTCGTTTTGCCATTTTGCTTTGGTTCACTATAAACGGAATAGAAAATTGAAAATTGAAAATTAAACGGAATTGAAAAGAATTGAAAAATAAATATAGTTTTCAATTCTTTTCTGCTTCCAATTAACCTAATGACTTCTACAAGTGGCGCCTGAACTATAAGGGTTGTGGATGATGATTCTTTGCACCCAGGTCCCCTAAAGCCCTAGTCGCCCTTTAAAAAGGGGAATATATAAGGTATTTCTAATCTTCTCTGTATCGTATTTCTACTACTTCTCTAGCGTGCCTTCGTGGTGTAACGGTAGCACGCTGAGCCGGTATTCCAGAGGTCGGTGGTTCGATTCCCGGCGAAGGCGGTTGTTAATTTTTCATCTTACCTGCTTCCAAAAAATCCTAATGACTCTACAAACTTAAGAACAACTTCTGAAACAATTGAAAATTAACGCTTTTTTGATTTAATCACATAAAATTCAACTTTCCATAATTAAATTTTAAAATATAAGAATAAGCTTAAAATGGATGTATTAAAATTCGTCATCTCTATGCTTTTCATTTTATTTAATTACTACGAGAAACTTCCGTATCAGACGTGCCTAGAAGCAAGCAGACTGCAGAGTCAGAAAACTTTATTTGCATGTAATCTCTTCGGCTAATTTGCCTCAGAGCATTAATGCCAGTAACTTACCACCAATCAGACATAAAACGCGTTTAACGATGACTCTCCCGCTAATGGACGTTTAATTCTAGGAGTGATAGAACTTCGATTCTTCCACGTTTACTCGGCTGCCGTTGCCAGAAGGCAAGTGTAACAGAGACACTTCTCGATCACCCAGGGATTTAACAGGTTCCATTTCATTCCTCTCCACAAGAATGTCATCTTACCAATTTTAAAATTCACTTGCGAATCCTGAAGATGCATTCTTGTGGCATTAATTTATAAAGAACCTAATTTGGATAGTGTCGTACAGATGGCGGTTTTCCTGTAATCTTCAAATGAGAAGGAATAAATTCTTAATTACTTCCATACTAGTTCATTTGAATGGATTAAGACATCTTAAAGGGTGATTAATAATCAACTCAGTAAACATTTAAATACGGCTGTTCGTTCATTTATAGATGAAGAAGGATATTGCGAAGGCGCATTATTAAGTCGGTTCAATAAGGAACACCTCAGTAAAAATGGTAAAAGAAGATTAGAGATTCTAATGGAAACGTAGTATCGAGAAGGTGATTCCTTCAGTACATTTGAAGCGTAAATACTTTATAAACAAACTTTATAAAATGCTAAGTTGATTTTAGTTGAGAAAATAGCGTGATAGCTTTGATAATAAATGGCTGTAAAACGCCGGTTTTAATCTTCATTTTTACGCGCATATATTTTCTAAACTATTTAACTTTCATCTATATAGCTTAGAAAAACATATTCAAAATGCTTAAAAATAATCATCAGAATCATGTGAATCGTAATAAAAAAGATATCGTGCAAGAAAATGCTTCTATCAATTTTTATGTCTCTATACCTTGCATTCTACGAAGTACTGTGCAGATTCTTTCACAGATTCATTCTTTCCTTTAATTTTTATAACGTCATTTTCCTCAACAAAATGCTTAAAAAAATTGATCACAACATTTAGCGAATACACTATAAAATTATGGAGAAACATAATTTATCGAAACGTTTATAGATTTAAATTTACACCTAAATATTTTGACCTAAAACAGTATGATTATCAATATAGTATATTAACATGCAGCATGATCTTGTCTTTTAGGTTAAACAAAAAACCAGAAAGAAAATTGCGATGTAATAGATCCAGGTTGCAAGAGGTAACTATGAAATATTTTCAGAAGAAAATTAGCTTTGCAACTGTATTGATTATTATTAAAATAATAATAAAAAATCTGATCTGTACACATGACTTCCTTGTACGGAATATTAAATTATACGTATTTTTTCTTGCATTTCATTTAACTTATTAGATTGAATTAAACTTACTTCGCCGACAGCGCATAAACCACAATAGAATAAATGAATTCTTTAAAACTCACTTTGTTTACCATAGCGACACTCAGGCGCTAGGTTTACTTAACAGTATTATATTTCGTTCATATTATAACTCAGAATGCACAAAATTTATATCATTTAAAGAATTATCTAATCGTTGCCACTTGTTCTATTCAAATACTATAACAAAGCTACAACGATGTATAAAAGAAATTAAGCAAACAAAACGAAAAAGAAATAGTTTTTCACAGACGATTGAGTATTTCTCATTCAATTATTTCACTTTTCACTTCGCGACAAGGCAAAAATACATAAAATCTCAAAATATCTGTATTAAAAATTACGAAGTAAATCTTAAATACTTATTTCCTCGAAAAAATTCCAGGAAGGATTAAGCGTGATTTAATTCGCAATAATAAATGAAGGCGTTATTTTTCTGTTGCGAAGTTTAGTCTCTCTCGATTGGCAACAAATCTACAATTCTGCTGTTTCAAATGTAAACAAATATGTCCGCCATGTTATTTAAAACTTAACCGCACTTAAACAGCTTTTAAATTGTTGATAATTGTACAAATATTGCTTCCAGAATTACGAAAGGAATAAAACCTTTAACCGGAAGATAAAAACAACATAATTCAATCATTTTTAAAGCAAAAAATGTACAATTTACAAACATATAAGAGTAAAGTAACTGAGATCACTGAGCCAGGTAACAGAGTGGATATATTTTATAAATATATTTATATACGTTTGGCGTGGCCGTTTGAAACAAAATACGAGGTGCACATCTACATGTTATAGTTGTCTTATATACAAAATTTGAACGTTCTGAGGCTACTCGTTTTTGAGTTATGCGAGATACATACGTACGTACATACGCTCGTACAGACGCCACGAAAAATTGTCTTCAGAATTCATTTTAAAGCAATTTTTTTAGTTTTTTTGGAGGAAAAGAGTCTTTTATTCTGTCCTTAAGTATAGATATCACGCAAAAACATCGTTATATTGCATTCGAAAGCGGTCAAAGTGGATATTTTCGTTGAAATATGCTGCCTGAAGCTTTTCGCGATTACAATACGTCTTTTTTTACTTCCTACAAGGAAGTAAAAAGAAAGGAGAAAAATCTGAAAGATTTCATATTTTACGTTACTTTCAAAGGGACGTTTGCTTAACGTTCCCTGTTTTTGCGTGACCTGTGTAGGTAAGGACAGAATAAAAGATTCTTTTTCTCCAAACAAATTAGAAAACTGAATTAAGACGGATTGAAAAGAGATTTTTTCGTGCCGTATAGTAGTGACATATATATTTATATACCAAAAGTATATAAATACAGAGTACTATATATATATGAGCGATGTATCAACTTTTGTCTAGAATAAATAGATCGTTGAAGAAATATATATGTAGTCGTAGCTTAAATTATCAGACGTTAAGTTTAAAAAAAAAACAGGATCCATTTATTATTATTCAGGAGAAATAGCAGTTACAAAATCAGATATCCGGAGTAAATAAAAA